ATGACCATGCAGCGTACCAATAAACTCTACCAGTTGCCAGAGGCTCCCAAGACAGCTGGGCTGCAACCAATGGAAAAAAAGGACATTTCAGTAGTACACCAGCTCCTCACCAGGTACTTGAAGCAGTTTCACCTCACACCAGTCATGAGCCAGGAGGAGGTGGAGCACTGGTTCTACCCCCAGGAGAATAGCCTCGACATTTTCGTGGTGGAGAATGCAAACTGGGAGCTGATGGACTTCCTGAGCTTTTACATGCTTCCCTCCACCATCATGAACCATCCAACCCACAAGAATCTAAAAGCTGCTTATTCTTTCTACAATGTTCACACCCAGACCCCTCTTCTGGACCTCATGAGTGACGCCCTTGTCCTTGCCAGAATGAAAGGGTTTGATGTGTTCAATGCACTGGATCTCATGGAGAACAAAACCTTCCTGGAGAAGCTCAAGTTTGGCATAGGGGACGGCAACCTGCAGTATTACCTTTACAATTGGAAATGCCCCAGCATGGGGGCAGGAAAGGTTGGGCTGGTGTTAAGTAACCAGTTGCCAGTGAGATTCTGGATAAAGCCACTGAGAATTTAAATCAGGAAATTGAACCCTACATGTTGGTCCAGTTGTCACCAATGTGAGAATCCCTGGCAAAGGGAAGAGAACTGAACTGGCTTTACCAAACTGCCAGCGGACTTGACAATTGTATTGCAATGGTGCAGGCTGCGTGATGTCACTTCTGGCCATGTCTCTGTTCTCCTTGTTTTCCAATTAATCATATTCTCATGCGACCGCGATCAAGGAAATGTAACTGTTGAAAAAGTAGCTCATGATTGGCATATTAAAGAGTTAACGGGTGAATAATAAAAGTATATATATATTTTTAAAAATGAAGAAGTCTGGGACCAGCAGTTAGTGTAATGGCTATGTCACTGGACTCTCACGTAGTCGACTGCGGTTCGAGTCCTGGATCCGGTGGCTTAAACTCATGCCGGGTGCGTGTGCATGCATGCCCAAGATTCTGAGAGGAGAATGGAGGAGAAGGGATTGCAGCATGGCCATCCCTCCTGGGGGGTGATTTCTCGCTTTCTGTCTCTCTGTCTCTCTCTGCCTGTCTGGCGAGCGCATGCACCAGACCTCTCCAAAAAAAAAGAAGAAATCTACCAAACAACCAGTTTAGCAACTTTATCAGATCAATGGTGTTGAAAACCTGGGAATAAAGAAGTGTGTAAATATCCAAGATTACAAGAATCTTACAAAGCATAATACTCAGGGCCAGCTCCGTGGCCTGGTGGCTAAGGCACTGGATCCCACATGGTTGACCCCATAGTTTGAATCCTGGACCTTGTGGCTTGAGAAACATTCTGACCATGTGTGCATGCATGTTCAAAATCCTGAGAGGGGGGAGAGATGGAGGAGAAGGGATTGCATTGTGACTATTCCCAATGAGGAGTGCTTTCTCCTCTCCTTCTCTCTCGGTCTCTCTGTCACTCTTTGGTGTGTGCATTTACCTTCTAGCAGGGAAAAAAAAAAAGCATTAACAATTAAATGCAGTGTGTGGATCTTGTTTGATTCAAATAAATTAAGTATAAAGGGATATTTAGGGGAATAACTGAGGAAATTTTCATAGACTGAGTATTGGGTGCTAGTAAGTAATTATTGATTTTGTTACATGTGAAAATAATTTCATATTATTTTTTTAGAGGTGAATATCAGAAGTAGATAGGATTGAAATATCATGATACCTTAAATTATTTTGACATACCTCAACAGGGTTAGCCCTGCTACCTCCTTGTTAAGGGAGCCAGAACCCACATGGCTGACTGCAGTTCCAATCCTGGCCCCGATGACTTGAAAACATGCCAGGCACATGTGCCTGCATACCCAGAATCCTAACAGGATGGAGAATGCATCATGTCCTTGTCCCACTGAGAGTGCTTTCTCCTTCATTCTCTCTCCCAGTCTCTCTGATGAGCACATGTGCCCTCTGACAACAAAACAAAATCTTGACAAAGAAAAAGCAGGAAAGCAATTTTGACAAAATATTAACAATTAAATATAGCAACAGGGATCTGGGGTTTAACATAATAGTCTCTTCTACTTTTGTAATTAAATTTTTTTCATAATAAACAGCAAATATAAACTGCTCTTTTATATTCTGGCAAAGACAAGAGCACATTTGGGTTGTTACAGCCAGTACCCACGTTCTGAGGTTCCTTGAAGAGTCATTCATAGACTTCCTGACTCTGAGACCACAACAGTAAGACAATCTACTGGGTTTTGTTTGCTTTTACCAGAGAATCCACTGATATCCTGACTCTACACTGGCTCTTATTAAGGGAAAGAATGTCGGTACCAGCAATTAGGTAATGGCTATGTAGTCAACCGCAGTTCTAGTCCTGGACCCGGTGGCTTAAACTCATGCCGTGCGTGTGCGTGCCCAAGATCCCGAGAGGAGAAAGGAGGAGAAGGGATTGTAGCATGGCCATCCCCCCGGGAAGTGATTTCTCACTTTCTGTCTCTCTGTCTCTCTCTGTCTTTCTGGCAAGCACATGCGCCCTATAGCAAAAACCTCTCCAGAAAACAAAAAAAAAAAAAAAAAAAAAGGGAAAGAATGTTATAAAAGACATCATTAGATCACTTGACAAAAATGGATAGCAGATTCAAAAATGATTCAGATAGTTATTCCTTTTCTGGGTTTTTCAAGGAATTTATCAATTTCATCTTTGTTGTTCAATTTATGGGCATAGAATGGTTCATAGTAGTCTCTTGGCTTTCTTATTTTCTTAAGCTAGTTTATTTTGTCCATGAGAAAGAGAGAGAGAAGCATCCCCAACTGGGTCTTCATGTTGCAATCCACTCCCAGTCTCAGCCAGCCAAGATTACAGGCACACACATGCATGCCCAGTGTGTTTAAGGAAAGCTTAGAACATGAACCCAGGGTCTTTCCCATATGGGTCCAGTTGTATTATTATTGTGCCACTACCTGGCCCCATTTCTTGTCTTTTTAAATGCCTGTAAGATCTATAGTGATGTCCCCTCTTTCATGTCTGATATTTGTCATCTTTACTTTACCCTTTTTTTTTTTTTTTTTGACAGAGACAAGTAAATAGAAGCAAAAAAAAGAAGCAATTATTCCAGTTAGGGCTGCAGAACCAACTGGACCTTCCTTACTTCCATTGGCTTGCCAAGTTGTTCTGTGAGTCATTTCTTTTGAGGCTTCTGCTCCTAGCCCATAGCTCTTACATCCTTTGTGTGGCCTCACATGTAGTCTGACATGGAAGAGCCCAACTACAGAACCAGTGCTCTCATGACTTTTGTCCTCTGAGGCCAAACCAAATTTTTACAGTGTTTTCTTGCCCTTTATTCCCTGCTTTCCCCCTAAAAGAAAACACAGGTGGAGGGGACAAGATAATATATAACCCTGGGTGGTGGGAATGGTAAATGGCAAAGATGAGCTTCTTTCTGGAAACGGTTGGAAGGCTCAAATTACCTAGACATAGGAAGTTCTGAAGTCTCCATGGTAGGAAGAGAAAGTCAGGGAAATAATGTGATTACTGGCAATGACAATGTCCTCCACTTTACTATTCATTGTCCTTTGACTCTTATCTTCTTACTTATTAGAAGTAAGGATCATAAATCCCTAGAAACTGGAGAAGTAAGGATCATAAATCCCTAGTAACTGGGGCACCTCATTCTATCACCCTCCCCAAACTGCATGTCCAGGTGGTGGCAAAGGAAGGGAAATATATAAGCTCCCTTTCTTTTCTTTCTTTCTGCTTTAACCTCAAATGGCCTCATCTGTTAGTGCCATCCAGTGACAAAGTCATCAAGTAGTACTGGCTAAAACTTGATGAAGTTTTTTCTTTCTTTTCTTTTCTTTTTTGAGGGAGTTTTGCTATAGGGTGCTTGTGCTCACTGGAGGGACAGACAGAGACAGAGAGACAGAAAGTGAGAAATCAACCCCTCAAGGGGGGTATGACCATGCTGCAGTTCCTTCTTCTCCATCCTCCTCTGGAGATTTTGGGCATGCACAAGCTCTCAGCGTGAGTTTTAAGCTTCTGTGTCTGGAATTCGAACCATGGTCTACTACATGGAAGTCCAGTGATGTAACCATTTATCCATCTGCAGGTCCCGAAGCTTTTTCTTTACTATGAGGGGTCCTCAATACCAACACTTGCTTTGTGGGACTCGAGTTATCACCATGCAGACCTATGATCATTGAAATAGTGTCAGCTGTAGAGGAACCATAGGTTCCCATAGAAGTATCTCTTCCTTTTCTTTAGAGATGGGTTGTATCTTCTCCAATTTTGAGAAACCTATCCTTATCCTTAAAGTCCCTGAAAGAAATCATTCTGAAACATCAGTGCCAGGCTATGTCCCAAATGCAAACTGGAAAAATGCTGAGTCTTCTGATGCTAAAATCCATTTTCTGTTCACTATGCTAATATCTCATATTAAATACACATTAGGGTTTTTTTTGTTTTTATAGCACTTTCTTTCCTTCCTACAGTTGTTTTTGGGGGAGTAGATTATGTCAAACCTTTGCATCTGGCAAAGAAGGAAGAAGACAGAGACAGACTCTTCTGCCTCAAGGCCTCCACAAGGTGAGCCCCACTGGTTTTTGCAAAGTTTTCTGTTCTTAGGAGTATGTGAATGTTGGGACCAGCAGATGGCAAAATTGGTTACATTGCTGGACTTCCATGTAGTCGACTGTGGTTCAAGCTCTGGACCTGGTAGCTTACACCTCATGCTGGGCATGTGTGCACCCAAAATCCCAAGAGGAGAATGAAGGAGAAGTGATTATGGCATGGCCATCCCCCCCCAGGGGGTGATTTCTTGCTTCCTGTCTCTGTCTCTCTGTCTCTTCAGTGAGTGCATACAACCTATAGTAAAAATCTCTCAAAAGAAAAAAATAAAATAAAAAAGAGTAGTATGTGAATGTCTTGTTTCCCTGGCCACCTTCCTAGAGAACCAAAGTATGGGAAAAGTGTACACATCAAAGTGCTTGTTGCAAATAAATATCTCCTCTTTATTCCACATATAGAAACTGGCTTCCAGAACTGGGTGAGGAAAGTACTTTGACCTGGCCCTGCCTCTGTGTGGGCCATAAAACTGAAGGTCTAGATTCTGGTGGCCAGGCCTTTCTGCACTTAGGAATGAATAATCCAGAGTTCCAGTCGGTTCCAAATTAGGGAGTGGGAGAAACGACGTGGGGCAGTTCCTTGGTGAGGTGAATGTCAGCTTGGGGTAAGCTCTTCCAAGCAAGTTCTAAGATCCCGTACTGGGCAATGCCCATAGGAAGGATGGTACGCACATTATTCTGCTCAGGGAGGGGTACCACATGCTGGAACTCCGGAGGGCTTCTAGCAGTATGAGAACTACCACAAAACAGGTGGTATAAGAGCCGCTCCCCAGGAACTAGCTCTGTGGACTTTAGGGCCTCTTTGTAGGTGATCTCTTGGGGTTGAGGATCCTCTTTCAGTAGCAGCTCCTGTAGTAGCCTCTGGATCCGGGGGGACTTAAGCTGGTATAGGTCTACGATCCGGTAGAACTGTTCCATCCAAGCAGCTCTGTCTTTTGCATATCGCTGCTGCAGCATCCGCAAAACATGGTACAGTGCCACAAAGGTCTCCCATAAAGGCACCTCTTCCCTTTTTTTGGAGATGGGTTGTGTCTTCTTCTCCAATTTGGGTAATTTGGGAAACCTGCCCTTATCCTTAAAATCCCTGAGATCCTTTTGAAACATCAGTGCCACGGTTTGTTTTTCCACAGAGGCATGAGCACTGGGAAAAATGTCTCTTGTCACAGGATAAACGTGTTGCATCTCCATCTCTTTGAGAACAGAGGATATCTGTTGTGCCCGCCTACTTCTATACGGTTCTCCTAGGAGATGCCAATTCATAGCCTTTGGGTCAGGAATTCTCTTGGTACCTAAAGGGGACTTTAGTGTTGGGACATCCAAAGGTTTCAGCCAACTCTCTTTTTCCTTTCCTCTTATAGGAGGAATCACTTTCAAGTATTTTGGACTTATGGACTCATCAGGTTTTGAGATCCTTGTGCTTTGGGATTCCAGTGCCTGCCTGTGACGGTACGCAATAGCTTGAAGTTTGGCTATATGCAGCCACTCTAAGTTTCCCTTTGAGAAGTCTCTGAGGAGCTGACACAATCTGTGGAAACTCTCTCTGGAAAGCTGTTCTCCCGCTTCCATCCGTTCTAGCATATGGTGGAGCCACTCTACTTCTGAGAGGCTTACCTCTGGATATCGTTCCTCAGCCAGGATTTGAGATAGTGGTATCTCTACCTCATCTCTCATCAGAGATGGATGATGCTGTAAAAACCACGTCCACCTGGCACTTGGTAGTTTGTGTTGGAGTTTCTGAGCCTCCATGATCTTCCTAAATGTGTGAGGCATGAATGGGGTCTTTAAGTCCTGCTCTTGGGACTTCAAAACCGTATCGAAAACATGTAGAGGTATATACTTATATTCCTCTAACTGTTCTTCTTTAGCCACAAACCTTGTCTCTGATAATTTCCTGGGTGTCTTAAGTATTGTGGCCTCATCTTCCCAGGATAGTTGTTCCTCCAACACTGGCAGTGGTATTTTCTCTTCCATTTCTGGTGCTATTGATATCAGTTCCTTGGAAGGACTTTCCAGAACTCTTAGTTTTATACCACTGTCTTTGACCTGAGGGACTCTTTTTTCAATGGAAAGGACTGTTTTCTCTCTTAGGAGAAACTTACCTCTTTCTTCTTGCAACCTCAGAAGTTTTTCTCTTTTTAATATCTCTTTTTCCTTGTCTACCTCTTCTTCCAATGAGCTTCTCTCCTCCTCTTCCTCCTCCTCCTTCTCCTCATATTCTTCCTCCTCTTCCTTCTCACTCAAACTTTCCATCTCTTTGTCACTCACGCTTTCTTCTTTCTCCTCAAAAACTCCCTCTTCCTTCTCCTCCTCCATCTCCTTTTGCATCTTCTTTTTCCTCTTCTCTTCTTGCTCCTTTTCCTTCTCCTCCACCTCCTCTTGCACCTTTTTCTTCTTTTTCCTTCTCTTTTCTTCTTGCTCCTTTTCCTTCTCCTCCACCTCCTCTTGCACCTTTTTCTTCTTTTTCCTTCTCTTCTCTTCTTGCTTCTTTTCCTCTTCTTCCTCCAGCCCCTCTCCTTCTTTCATCTCCTCTTTTTCTTCCTCCTTCTCCCATTCTTCTTCCTTTTCCCATTCCTCTTCCTCCTCCTCTTCTTCCTCCTCTTCCTCCTCTTCTTCCTCTTCTCCCTCTTCTTCCTCTTCTTCCTCTTCTTCCTCCTCCTCTTCTTCCTCCTCTTCCTCTTCGAGTGAACTCTCTTCTACTTGATCTATCAGGCTTTCCATTAACTCAGAAAAGCTCTCTTCACTTTCCATTTCATCTACTTGACTGGAAAACTCTTCTTTTGATGTATCAATACTCTCTGGCGGTTTTCTCTTTCCTTGCCTTCGTTTAAGGAATGAAATGACCTCTTCTTCCTCTGTTGCTTCTTCCTCCTCTTCAGCCTGTATGAATGCTTGCTCTTCTCTGGCTAATCTGCTTTCTTCCTCTGACATTTTTCTCTCTTTTTTAATCATTCTTTTCATTTCCTTGGCCAGTTTTCTCTGCTTTTGGGCCAGTTCTTTCTCATCTTTGGTCATTTCCGATTGTTCCTTAGAAAGATCCCACTCTTTGAGATCAAGTAAATTCTCTTCCTTGTTCAATCTGCTCTCCTCAACAACGAGTGCCCTCTTCCTCTTTGTCATCTTTATTTCTTCTTGAATTAGTCTCCTTTCCTCACTGGCTAATTTTTGAAGTGCCCTTAAGACTTTGCTTGCTTTTTTTGGTTCCTTGAAAATGCCCTTCTTTTCCAAAGATAGCTTCCTCATTGCTCTGGCTAACTTCCTTTCTTCCTGGGCACATATTCTCTGACCTGTAGTAACCTCCAGATTTCCTTTGGCAATGTTCCTTTTCTCTGAGGCCAGTATCCTATCTTCATATGCCAGTACCTTCTCCTCTATTGCCAATTTCTTCTTCATTAGTTCTGTTTTGTCCTTAGATGCTTCTTTCTGTCTTAGGGTTTCTCGAGTCTCTCCTTTGAAGAGAGTTTTCTTTTCCTCAGCCAGTCTCATTTTCTCTTGGGCCAGTTTCTTCATTTCCATCTTCAATGCCTTTTCTTCCTTAGCAATATCTGACTCTTCTCTGATCAATTTCCTCTCTTGGAACATTGTCTTCTTCTTCTTAAATAATTTCATTTTTCCCTTGGCCAATTTCTCCTGTTTTTTAGCCAGTTGTTGTTCTATTTGGGCCAAACTTTCCTGTAGATAAGCCAGATGCTCCTTCTTCTGGGCCACTATCTCCTTTTCCTGATTCAATTTCTCCTCTACCTGATCCAGTTTCTTCTTATACATCTCCAGTTTCTCCTTTACTTGGACTAATTCCTGTCTGCTCTGATTGAGTTTTTCTTTGATGTAGAGGAGAGCCTCTTTTCTCTCAGCCATTTTTTCCTGCTCCTGAGCCAGATATTTTTTTTCCTGAGCCAGATTATCTTCCTTCTGGGCCAGGATCCTCTTCTTCTGTATAAGTTCTTCCTTGGCCTGGACTAGTTTTCTTCTTTCCTGGGCCAGTTTCTTCTTTTTCTCTATCAGTTTCTCCCGTTTTTGGGCCAGTCTTTGTTCTTCCTCGGGCGTTTTTTCCTTATCCTGGGCTAGTTTCTTCTCTTCTTGGTTGAGCAGCTCTTCTTCCAGGGCCAGTTTTTTCTCTTCCATAGCCAGCTTTTCCTCTTGACTGGCCAGTATCTTCTCTTGCTGAGCCAGGTCCTCCTTTTCCTCATGGAGTTTCTCCTCTTGAAGATCCAGTTCCTCTTTTTTCCAAGACAAATCCCTTATGTCCCACATCAGATTCTCCAATTCCTCAGCCATCTCTTGTTCTCGACATGCCAGATCTTGCTCTTTCTGGGTCAATTTTTCCAACTGCTTGGCAAATACCTTTTTTACCTCAGCCAATTTCCCCCCTTTATTTACTAATTTCTCTTCTTCTTGAGCTTCTTTCTCCATTTTCTTGGCCAATTTCTTCCATTTCTGAGTCAATTTCACTATTTCTTTGCCTAGCTGATCTTCTCTTTTGGCCAGTTTTCCCTCTTTCTGGGCGAATTCCCTCTCTGTCTGGGCCATTTCACCATCTCCCTGAACCATTTCCATACACGTTTGGGCCAGTTTTTCCTCTTCCTGGGCCAGTTTTCTCTCTTCTTGAGCAAGTTTTTCTTCTTGTTGTGCTAGTTTTCTCTTTTCTTTAGCTAGTTTTCTTTCAGCTCGGGCATGTTTCCTCTGTATCTTGGCCTGTTTATGTTCTTTCTGGATCTGCTCCTCCTCCTCCTCTTCCTCCTCTTCTTTTTCTTCTTGTTCTTCTTCTTCTTGTTCTTCTTCTTCTTTTCCTTCTCCTTCTTCTTCTTCCTCTTCCTCTTCTGCTCCTCCTCCTCCTCTTCCTCCTCTTCTTCTTTTTCTTCTTGTTGTTCTTCTTCTTGTTCTTCTTCTTCTTGTTCTTCTTCTTCTTTTCCTTCTCCTTCTTCTTCTTCCCTCTCCCAAGGTATTGCATCCACTGGAGTCAGTTCTTCCTTATCCATGTGCCTGGATGTCAATATATCTTCCCAGAGCTGTTTCCACTCATCCCATTTCAGTTTCCCCTCATCATCCTCCAATGTTTTCTTATCTGGGAGTAACTTCTCTCCATGCTGGCATAGTGCCTCCTCTTTCTGAAAATGGCTCCTGTCCCAAGCTTGCTTCCATTCATTCCAGGATACCTTTCTCTCATTATTAGCCTGTTTCCACTGGTCCCAGGACCTCTTCCACTCCTCCCAAGACAACTTCCTCTCAACCACATCTGGTCTTTCTTTTTGCTCCTCCTCCAGGTTGACTATTTCTTCCTCTTTCTCACTCATCTCTCTCTCTTCTTTGGTCACATCCCTCTCTTTTATATCCACTTTTTCCTCTGGCTGCACTGCTTTCCTCTCTTGCTTAGACACCTTTTTAAAGGATTTCTTTTCTTCTTTCTTAGATTTTTGTTTTCCCTTGGCTAAGTCGCCTGGTTCTAAAATAGTACCTTTCTTTTTCTTGCCCTTTTTTGGAATCACCTGGGTTTCCTCCAAGTCCTGAACATCCTCAGCTCCTTTTTGCACTTGCTCTTTCTCCTGTGGTAGCTCTTCTTCATCTGTGATCACTATGTCCTTTCTAGTGATTTCTTCCTGTATAAAAACTGGTTTCTCCTCTGACCAGGCTACATCCCAGTCAAGGTCTTCAAACAGAACTTTTTTCTCTTCCTTCAGCAGAGGACAGATCTCCCGAAAGAGTTCCCAGCTCGGGCGCCTATCTACCAGCATCTCCTGAGCCAAAGTCACTAGCTCAATGTTTAGAGCTTCTGACATTTCTGTTTGAGAACCAGATATCCTCAGGGTCAGAAGACGACATAGATCATCCCGCCATGATGAACCATCTCCAGGGGTAGTCCTGTGGCCAGGCACTCCAAAGGCACCCCGCCCACGAGTTTTAACTTTTTTAATCATTGGTTCTCCTGTTACAGAAGGTGGAGGTTCCTCAGTTATAACTTCGGCTTCTTTTTTTTTCTTCTTGTGCCCCTTTACAGGTTTCTGAGGTGTTGCTTTCTTGCCTCTCTTATCATGCATTTTTCTCAGCATCTTCATGGTCAACACAATTTGATCCTTTGAGACCTCTATCTCTTTAGGTTCAAGATCTTTTGAGACTCTTACTGTACTGGTGACTGAAGACTTTCTAGAATAGACAAGTGTATCCTCCGTTTCAATTGGTACAGCTTCACTCTGATCAATCTCACCCTCTAAGGGAACTGGCTCTGTGCTAATCTGTTTAGAGTCTCCCTCTTTGATCTTCTTTAGACCTCGCAACCATTTTCGGGCTAGAAGAAAAATCAGGAGATAGAGATATAGAAAGCATGGGAGGTTAAGTGAAACCCTTCCCAATATTTGGTGTGAGCTAAGAGGAACTGCCATAAAAGAAGTAGCAACGGATAAGGGTGAGGTGCTTTTTTGGTTTTGGTTTGATTTTTTGTTTTGTTTTGTTTTGTTTCTTTTTTTTTTTTTCTTTTTTTTTTTTTTTTGGGAGTTTTTTGGAGGTTAAGTGAAACCCTTCCCAATATTTGGTGTGAGCTAAGAGGAACTGCCATAAAAGAAGTAGCAACGGATAAGGGTGAGGTGCTTTTTTGGTTTTGGTTTGATTTTTTGTTTTGTTTTGTTTTGTTTCTTTTTTCTTTTTCTTTTTCTTTTTTTTTTTTGGAGGTTTTTGCTATAGGGCACGTGTGCTCACTAGAAAGAGATAAAGAGCCATAAAGTGAGAAATCACCCCCCTAGGGGGGTGGCCACACCGCAATCCCTTCTCCTCCATTCTCCTCTTGGGATCTTGGGCATGCACACAAACATGCCTGGTGTAAGTTTAAGCCACCAGGTCCAGAACTCAAACCGCAGTCAACTACATGGGAATCTAGCGACATAGTCATTACTCCAACTGCTGGTCCCTTGTTTTTGTTTTTTTAATCAAAATTTCCTTGCTTCATTTGATGCCTCTCACCCCCAACCAAATCAGAGAGATGGGCCTTGCAATCTTCCTGAGTTTGGGTGGCTCCTTCTAAAAGAATTTTCTTCTATGACATAAATCTTTCTACTTATCTCTCCACCTACTGTCTCTTGACTCTAGCCCTAATTATCCTGCCTCTTGGGGACCCTCAGTCTTGGACTATATCATTCCATACATACCATGCTTTTTTCCTCCTGTTCGGCCCCGTTTTTGGCCTTTGCTGGGTTTGGTGGCCACTTCATATTCTTCAAGAGGTTGTTCAGAAAGGGACTGGGTTTTGGAATCCCTTGGGACATATAAAGAAAAAGCAGGCTTTTCGTCTCCTTCTGACAAGGTCAGGTTTTCATTCAATCTCTGCTCCACTTGAGTGTAAAGGATCTGTAGATCTGTGGGCCTCATTCCTAGGAGATGGTCCAGGGATTCCTCCCCAATCATCTCCTGCCTATAAAAGTCAAAGAGGAAGGACTATGCTGAATCAAGCATAAGGGAGAGAATGGGTAGGAAAGAACTGCTGTGGAACAGGCAAAGGGTTAAGCAAAACAGCCAAGATGAACAGTGTATATAGAGATAAATGCTGGCCAAGAAGAAAGAAAAGGGTCTAGGAAGCCAAGATAGTAATAAATGGGCCTGTATGGGCTTGCAAGGGTGGGAGAAAAGCATAAAAAGTGGAACTTGAAGATGTAGGGAACAGATAGAAACAGGCAAAGAATTAGAGAAGGGGATGAGCAGTCAGAGGATTGTCGAATACAGTCTAGGAATAGAAAAGGCTATGAAAGAGAAGAAAGGTCAAGGAGCGCTACTAAGTAAAGATGAGGTAGTAAAGGAAGAGAAGGGAAAATGGGTAAAGAGAAGAAAATTAGAAGCTGGTAAAGAATTGAGGAACAACTTGCTGCATAAAAAACTTACTGGATCTCCCGGAAAATATCTCGTTTCTGGATCAAGTTTAAGAGTGAGGTCTTAGAGTGGATTCCAGTATCAGCCATGAGACTCAGGGCCTTATTCCTCACTCTTTGGTCTTTGTCCATTAATCCTTGGGCCAAAGGCATGGCAAAGAGATGAGTAATCATTCCTAGACGCTTCAGCCCTTCCCAGGCTAGTTCTCGGATCAGTGGGTTGGAATTGGTTGTATCATCCAGCAAGCGATGGGCTGTCTCAGCGCGCAGGGCTGGAGATACCTGATAAGAGGCAAAAATTTGTCCTAGTGCACCAATACAACATTGGTACTTCAAGGGAGGAGCATGGATCATAATATTGAGGATTGTCTCAATCAAGCTATTAATAGTTATTTCACTCATCTTCCTTCCCAGCCAGTTGCGGTTTGTTGTATTTGTAAGGACACTATAAGTTATATCCTTGGACAGTCTCATTTCTATAAAGTGTTCATCCTCCTTCTGTTCTCGATGTTCTACTTCACTCAAGGCTCTTGTCCTACTGTGCCAGAAGAAGAACTGCTGAAAATTATCCCATTCCAGAGCCCGCTGGGGTGGGTGCAGGTTGCAATGTAGGTATATAGGGCTGCCCTCTGGCCAAAGACGGGCACGAATCACTGAGTTGGGTATGTAGCAATCAGGGGCAAAAAACCATTCTCGCCCATGACCAAAATAGCAACGCAATATCTGATAGGGGTTGAGTCCATCCCAGTTAGTCAGCTGTAGCTGGGGAGGAACCACGTAACTTGGATACTGACGTTTTTTCTTCTGTATCTTATCGGTTTCATCTCCCAGGAAAATGTCACGTATGGGGGTACCCAGTATCACAGGGTTCCCTTCCTCATCTTCTTCTATAACATGTGGCACAGAGTGGTCAAAGGCAATGGCCCGCTTATTAATAAGTTTCTCCAGACCCACTAATTGCTGTTTCCCTTGTCCAAGGTAGACATATTTGGGAACAAACATTGTCTCAAAGGAGAAGAAGAAGCCTGGTGTAAAAGGTTTAGGGACTTCTAGTACTTCGTCTGCTATGCTCATAAAGGAAAGGCGAGCCAGCAGGGGTGGGGGAAGGAGCTTTAAACAGGAGACCAGATAAAGACTCTGGTTGAAAGTCACAAGTAGGTCACCCCGATCATTTGCAAAGCAGAGCGGGCCAAAGTGCAATGATGAGTCCAGCATGGCTATGAGTCTACCATGGAAGTCCCAGAGCCGAACAGAGCCATCAATAGCACCTGTGACAAAAAGATTCAAAGACAGGCAGACATCAAAGGATGTGATGGCACACTGGTGCAGGGGCAATGACTCTATATACTTGGAGCCTTGTGTCATAGAGGTCAGAAAATCATGGAACTTCCAGAGACGCAGGCAATTAGTGTCCGTGATGGCACTCACGGACTTGGGTAAGAGTATCAGGTGTTTCAGGTGACAGCTGCTGAGAATACTGGCAAGAGGCCGTAGACGTACTCTCACCCCCTCAAACACAGCTTCTGACAGGCGTACATAGTCATCCATCCCGTAGGAACAGAGAAAAGAGTTTTCTCGGCTACCAAAAAGCCCTCCAGGCAGTGTAGAGAGTGCCAGTACAGCCCCAAAGTGCACAAGTGTCTCTATTCGGGCACAGCTGTGTTGAGAAAGCACTCTTATGATGCCACTCTGGTGCCCAGAGAACATCAGTCCTTCTAGACCCCGACCCAGGTGGAAATGCCCATAAGCGAGGCACTGTACAAAGTCCTGAGAATCTGGCGAGGTGCATATGAGATACTTGGCTGGGCAAGGAGAGCGGGTTGTGTCATATACCATCACTTCTGAACTGCCTGTTGCCACAAAGAGCTCCTCTTTAACTGGGTCATAGGCCCAATCCACAGCCTGGTCCAGGATTGAGAAAGGCCAGGTGATGATCAGAAGATTCCCTGTTATCGGGGACACAAAGTGTAACAAGCCATCCTCGCTAGCGCACAGGATCCGGAACCAGTTATCTCCACAGCGGATCCGACGCACATGCTGGGGAGCAGAACCACAGACGTTGAAGAGGCTATAGAAGCAGGGCAGACGGCGTAAGGAAAAGCTATGAATAGTTTGGCAGAAGAAAGTTATGTTGTCAATGAACTCAAGTCGGTAGAGTTCCTCTCCCAGTTCCAGCCGTCGAAGCAGGTTCCCTGAAGTTAGGTTCCACTCCTTGATTAAGCCTTCCCTGCCAGCTGTTAGCAGGGTGTGGGCCTCTGGCCGACTGCGGATACATAGAACTGTTAAGGAGTGGCCCTTGAAAGAGTGGAGGGGCTGGCCCCGATTGAGGCTCCAAACCTGGATTTCCCCAGTTCCATTTCCAGCATAGAGAAAGCCCTGATCAAAACAAGTAAAACAGCAGGTGATAGAGGAGCCGCTGATGGTAGAAATGAATCTCTTCACCTCGGCCAGCTGGCCCTGGCCCTGACGCTCAAGAACCCTCACCACAGTCTCGCACAAGGCTAGGAGGGAGCCATTGGGACCATTCACTATAATGTCCTGGACAAGCTCATCACCAGACATGGAAACCATGTGGGCCATTTGGAGGCCCTTGCCATTTCGCTCAATGACCCAGGTGACCACTGCCCCAAGGAGGCCAGACAGGAGCATCTTCATTTCTGGGTCATAGCAGAGGCAGCTGATGTGGAAGCGGCACGGCACTACACCCAGGGGTTTGAAAGCCCGAAAGTGGTCCCCAAAGAGCCTCAGAAACAGGTCACCACAGTAGGTCACGAGGATATGAAAGGAACCTGTGTGGACCATAGACTGGATGGGTGGCAGTCGCTCAGACATGGAGAATACTCTCTTCTCAACCATGTCCTCAGTTTTGCTCTTCATCCACACTACAGCCTGGAAGGAAATAAGATGGAAATTATTTAGTAAAGGTAGTAGAGGAAGAAAGCAGAGACTATTCAGCTAGTTTTTTCCTGAGGAGGAATTAGATGACTTTAGTGTGATGTTACTCTGTGGTGATAGGAGTTGAAAATATAGTAGACATGGGAAGTCAAGGACTTTTCCCAAACCGGGGCCTACTTTAGGAAAGCCATGAAGCCTATCAACATGGAAGCTGTAATTGGAGAAAAGATGAGGAATCCTCTTTGTCCATCCAGCCTGAGAACATGGTTCCTGAAGAGAATGAGCTATACATGGGGGAGAAAGGCAGTTTTACCTGTATTTCTTTTGTGATTGGTGTCACCCACGAGAGGGAGGCGAAGAAGTAGGCATCACTGAAGTAATAGCATATAAGCGGCATATTTTGAGGATAGCGTGACTCTTTGAACAGTATTTGGGACCGGTCACTCAGCACAACTAGATCACTTTTTGGATCCTCTGCAGTTTGCTGGGGAGAGGCATGAGATAAGCTAAGAAGCCAGGGAATACATTCACTAAATATATTTTCATACAAGTTACAGCTGAAGCAGTTCTCAAAGCCATGCCTCCTACCCCAAGGACCACTTCTGTTACAGCCGCATGTGCATATATTATTGTCACTTACAGGATATCTTCACTCACAAGCATGTGACAAGTTTCCCAACACATGAGAGAATCAGATTTTCTAGGGCAAATTTTATAGTGTGAGTGCGGGGAAATGATGTTCTTCCCAACATGCAGTTCACCACATCTGTCTTCTGACACTTTCCCTGTGTCTACAAGGTACATGTATGATAAGACACACATCTAACAGATTACCCAGGCAAGCATATCACCTTATACCCACATACAAGGGGTTGTAAACATTTTCATAAAAAATGTGTATTATGGGAGCTGGCAGGTTGTGTGGTGGTTAAGACCCTAGACTTCCACATGACTGACTGCAGTTTGAGTCCTGGACCTGGCAGCTTGCTTTCTTACTTTCTCTCCTTTACTCTCTATCTCTGGTCAAACTAAGAAATAATAATAAATAAATAAAATCATTCTTTAAAAAGATTTATTTACTTATTCAACTTGACCAGAGAGAGACAGAGCGAGTGAGAGAGAGAGAAAGTGAAAAACCAAGCCACCAGGTCTAGGACTCGAATTGGGGTCATGTGGGCGTCTAGTGCCCTTAACCACCACTCCACCTGCTGGCCCCAAAATAAAATAATTCTTAAAAACAAACAAACAAACAAAAACAAAGAAAATGTGTATTATGAAAAAATTAAACATGGCTTTTTGCACCAAAATAAACTTGTACTTTAATTCCATTTTCCATGAACTTTTTGAGGTCCCCTAAATAATAGCATAGGATGTCCTAGAATCCTGTAAGTGCCACTGACTTTAATAACATAAAAGTTTAAAGTTATACTAAATAGGGACCAGAAGATGGTGTAATGGTTATGTTGCTGGACTCCTACGTAGTCAACCACGGTTTGAGTCCAAGATCTGGCAGCTTAAAACTCATGCTTGACATGTGTGTGTGCCCAAGATCCCAAGAGGAGAATGGAGGAGAAGGGATTGCAGCATGGCCATCTCCCACAGTAGGTGATTTCTCACTTTCTGTCTCTTTGTCTCTGTCTTTCCAGCAAGCGCATGTGTCCTAGACCAAAAGTTACACTAAATAAAACTTTGAGAACACCCTATCTGGCCTTCAACTTTGACAGAAGGATCGCATATAAACAACCTATCTTGTCCCATAGCGATAGAACATGTGATGTGAAACATATATATGAGATCTTCTTACACAGAGCCAATATGGACACAACTGAGGTTGGCAAATGTTCTTTCTGGTGCTTTTCCCTTCTTTTTTAGAAAATCTTTTTTCCTAAAGGGTTGGTTCCTCTGACAATGCTTCAAAGTATTTAAGGGGGTCTTATAGATTCAAAGAGGTCTATAGATTCATTTGGTAACTGACAGCTCGTTTCCAAGACTAAGATAACAATTGTCATGGTCCACCCCACTTGCTCCTGTTTTCATGGTCAATCTATGACTCTTCTGAAGTGTTCACTGTGTTAAGGTAGACAGAGGCCAGCCAATAACATGCCTAAGTCCTATGTATACATTACCTTGCTTTTATTTATGGTATCACTGATGAGGTATTTGAAATCCTTCCATACGGGAATGAGTCTGGGGGAAGACATCACCTAGATTATCTCCTGGTCCTCGTCAGGGCTGTTGCTTTAAAAACTGTAGGAATAATAAATAAATAAATAATAAAAAAGAATAGCTTAACCACTGCTACTTTTCTTTTTAAGAATTATTTAATTTAATTTATTATTATTATTATTTGAATTTGACCAGAGAGGGACAGAAAAAGAGAGAGGGAAAATGAGAAAGCAAGCTATCAGGTCCATGGTTGGCCATGGGGGCAGCACCTTAACCACCACACCGTCTGCCAGCCCCAGCCATCACTGCTACTTTTTGAGGAGCTAGGAATCGTGAACCATGAACTCATGCTTATTGAACACTTTCTAGACATCAGGAACTATGAACAAGACATCTTCTCATTTCATACAGCCCAGTGAGGTAGGTAATTTTCAGGTATATTAAAGCTTGGAGAGGGTAAATAAAGGAGTTGAGAGGTTGAATTTTAGCATTTTCCATCATAACCCAGTAGGATATTATGTGTGAGGAAAGCAGAGAACCCTAGAGAGTGACTTTCTGGTCAGAAAGTCACTCTTTCGTTTACCCTTACAGCCAAATGAAAATTTAGGGCCGAATGGCAGCACAGGGAAGGTTCTGAGTTCATATCCACAGGCCTCCCTGAATACTCTGGGCATGTGCATGTCCATGATCCAGAGCTGGCTGAGGCTGGGAGTGGATGTGGTATCAAGACCTTGTTGGGGTGCTGTCTCTCTGTCTTTCTCTGTATACCTCTTGCTTATGGAAGGAATAAAGAAATAAACAAAAAAAGTTCTTTGCTGGCTGTTCTGTGTTAAGAGAGCATCAAGGGGCTAAGTGGTTAAGATGCTGGACTCCCATATGGCAGACCGCAGTTTGAGTATGGGCCTGGAAGCTTGAAAATCACACCAGGCGTGTGTGTGTAGGTGACCAAATCCTGCCAGAAGAACCTGGAGGAGAAGGAATCGCGGCACAGCCAAACTCCCAATGGAGATTTCTCACTTGCCCTCTCTCCGTCTCTCTCTGGCAAGTGCACACACCATACGGGAAAGCCCTAGCAGGGAAAACCCTCCCTCAGGCCAGCAGGTAGCAAGGAAGTTAAGGCACTGGATCCCACAAGGCCAACTGTGTGGTTCAAGTCCCAGATGTGGCAGCTCGAAAATCATGCTGGGGCATCTGTGTGCACGCCCAAGATCCCGAAAAGAGAATGGAGAAGAAGGGATTGTGGCCAGGCCATTGCACTCCCCTGGGAGGGGGTAACTTCTCTCATTTTCTTTTTTTTCTCTCTCTCTCTCTCTCTCTCTGGTGAGTGCACATGCCGTATACCAGAACTAAAATAAATATATAACATCCTTCTTTCAGGAAGTCTGTCAGTATTGTTATGACAATACACCTGTTTTCTCTCATTTGCAAAATGAAAATCCATCTTGCCTACTTCATAGAATTGTTAAAAAGATTAAATAGGATTATTCATGTGAAAGTACATTTAAATATACTCTGAAGCAACAAACAATTGCAATTGCTGTTTTTAAACTGGTTCTCAGGCAGGTAATCACTGTTTTCTCCCAGCCCATACTTAGATCAATTTATAGTCTGGCCAGCAGAGGGCAATAGAGGCCAACCTTGCCTACCAGATGAAGGAAAACTTCATCACTTTAGAGAAATGTTTCCCAGAGTGTGGTCCTCAGGCCAGCATCAGTAGCATCTGGAAGAGTGTTAGAAATTCAGATTATTGGAACCAGCAGTTAGCATAATGGCTATGTCACTGAACTCCCATGTAGTCGACCGTGGTTCGAGTCCCGGACCCGATGGCTTGAACTCACGCCAGGTAGTGTGCGTGCATGCCCAAGATCCCGAGAGGAGAATGGAGGAGAAGGGATTGCGGCATGGCCATCCCCCTGGGGGCTGATTTCTCGCTTTCTGTCTCTCTGTCTCTGTCTGTCTGGCGAGCGCACGCGCCCTGTAGCTAAAACCTCTTATTAAAAAAAAAAAAAAAAGAATCCTGAGAGGGCGATATCCTCCTCTCTGTCATGCATATGAGAAACATAAATTGAGAGAGAAAAGGGACACGTTGAAGACAACACAGGGCAGATTCAAGACTAAGATTTAATCCATAACTCGGGATTCTTCTATTATCTCACAGAAGGAAGAGGTTCTGCCAACCGATGGCAGAAAGGAAGCATTCTGACCCACAGATCCACCCACAATGGGCACTGGATACTGGCTGTCAGACATCAGCACCCGCTCTGTGTCTTCCCACTCTCCCCAGGCTGCAGGCCACCCTCCTGTGATCTCTCTCTCTGTTCTGTTCCTTTTCATCCCTGCATTTGTTGCTCACTGGGACTGCCACTGAGGAGCCCGTGTGATCAGCATCAGATCTCTGCACATCAGTGCAGATGCCCCGTAGGCCAAACTCCATGGCCTAGATTTACCCACTGGCTTCTTGGGGAAGCCCCAGAGAGCTGCTGTAACGATCGTCGCCACCAAGACCCTCTTTTGTTGAGCAGCCAACAAAAAGCAAGTGGTTGAGACCCTTCAGGGAAACATTTTGAAGGGGTTAGTGAAAAAGAACTTCAAACCTCAAACCACTATGTTGATGTTTTTGCCACTCTCTCCCACCCCATAGACCAGTTTCCTCAGGTTTCCCTAAGAGGAAGCCTCTCCGAAAATCTTCTACGTTTATCTTCTTAGTATCAGTACCTGTCCAAATCTGGGGTGAGATGTCTTTTTTTTTTTTTTTTTTTTCACACAACAATCCCTTCTCTTTCTTTCTCCTCTCAGGATCTTGGGCACACACACACACATGCCCAGCGGTGAGTTTAAGCCACTAGGTCTGAGACTTGAACCGCAGTCAACTACATGGGAGTTCAGTGACATAGCCATTACACTAACTGCTGGTCCCTTGAGGTAGTTTTAATTTTTTCCTTTTTTTTTTGAGAGAGGTTTTTGCTATAGGGCTCGTGCACTCGCCAGAAAGACAGAGAGAGACAGAGAGACAGAAAACAAGAAATCACTCCCCCGGGGGGATGGTCACGCCGCAATCCCTTCTCCTCCATTCTCCTCCTGGGATCTTGGGCACATACGCATACGTGCCTGGCGTGAGTTTAAGCCACCTGGTCTGGGACTCGAACCTCAGTCGACTACATGTGAGTCCAGCAACATAGCCATTACGCTAGCTGCTGATCCCGATGTTCTTGTCCGTTTATTATCTTGATAACCCAAAGATAATCTAATGAGAATAAAAATCCTGTGGCCACTTTGGGGGAGAGGATATTTGGGGCCAACAGATGTTCTGTTCTGCTGACCAGAGACAAACCAAGCCTGTGATGAGGTACTTACATTGAGACTATACATTTCTTAGTTTCAGTCTACTCCAAGGTACAGTGCTTTTGGGAAGGCAAATATTCCAAGATTCTGCCTTGTAAAAATGAGAGCAGGCTCCCTGGGACACTGTCAGGTCCCTGGCCTCCCCAGCAAGGGTCCCTTGCTGGCTCCATGTGCTCTGTTACACGTGTGTGAGGGGACGCAGCCAGTGTTCTTGCTCCACAGAACTTACAGCTCAGCGGGGAAGGCAGATATCAAAGAACAGTCATGAAATTTATTATAGTGGGGAATTCTCTGAATTTTCCTAAACTTTTCATTTTCTCTAACTTATATTATAATAGCATTTTTTTTAAGAGAGAGATTTTTTGCTTTAGGGCGTGTACTTGCCAGAGAGACAGAAAGCAAGAAATCACGACCTCCCCACTGGGCCATGCCACAATCCCTTCTCCATTCTCTTCTTGGGATCTTGGGCATGCATGCACACACACACCTGGCATGAGTCTCAAGCTGCCTGTTCTGGGACTGGAGCCGTGGTCAACCATATGGGATTCCAGCAATGTAACTATTACACCATCTCTGGTCCCCTAGCAATTCAATTTTAAGAAGGAAAAATATAGAGGCAGCATGTGGTACAGTGGTTAAGGTACTAGACTCCCACATGGTTGACTGCAATTCGAGTCCTGGACTCAGAGGCTTGAAACTCATACCAGGCACATGTGTGTGTGTGTGTGTATGTGCCCAATATTCCAAGAGGAGAATGGAGGAAAAGGGACTGCAGTGTGGCCATCCCCCACCCCCGCAGGGTGATTTCCCACTCTCTCTCTCTCTCTGTTCAGTGCATGTGCCCTATAGCAAAAAAAGTACAAAAAAGAAGAAGGAAAAATACAAAGGGCTATAAGTACAGATAACAAGGAGACTGGACCACCCAAAAGAAGGGCAATGTGCTCACTTTGAGGTAGGGGCTTGCATGGATTATAAGGCCTTGCAGGTGGGCCTCACTTTGGAGGATAGGAGGCAGAAAGTTCAACTGGCATCAGAAGGGCCTGATTAGCTGATCGTAAAATCAAAAGGACAATCTTGGTGATAAGGAGCTCATTTATTCTCAGGGTCTGAAAGTGCTACTCTGGTCTTTAAGTGACTTCCAGTCTAGAGCTGAGGTTGGAACGCACCTAACTTTTTGTAAGGAAAGAAACAATTTTCTAGGCTGACAAACATATATTCACAGGGTGGGCCAGTTTCTTTTATCTTTTTTTCTTTAGCTTTTTGTCATAGGGCACATGTGCTTGCCAGAGAGGAGACAGATAACAGAGAGAGGGATCGTGAAAAATCACCCCCTAGTGGGAATGGCCACGCACAATCCCTTCTTTTCGATATTGCTCTCTGGATCTTGGGGACACATGAACGTATGCCTGGTGTGATTTTTAAGCCACTGGGTCTGGGATATGAGCCACAGTCAGCCACTTGGGAATCTACTCACCTATGGGCCCCTGGGTCAGTTTCTATTGAGTGGAAGAGTTACCCTGGATCCCTGGGAGTAATACCAGTATCTAGGTTGATTAGGTTATAAAGTACTAACCGGGCGTTTTAAATATATTTTAATTCTTACAATGACTCTTTGACTTAGCTATTACACTCTCTTTAATTAAACCATTTAAAAACATGGACATGGTGGGAACCAGCAGTTAGCATAATGGCTATGTCGCTGGACTCCCACGTAGTTGACTGCGGTTCGCGTCCCGGACCCGGTGGCTTAAAACTCAACGCCAGGTGCATGCGCGTGCGTGCCCAAGATCCTGAGAGAAGAATGGAGGAGAAGGGATTGTGGTGTGACCATCTCCCCTGGGGGGTGATTTCTCGCTTTCTGTCTCTGTCTGTCTGGCAAGCACACACGCCCTATAGCAAAAACCTCTACAAAAACAAAAACAAAAAAATACATGGACATGGTAAAAATATTCAAAATATCCTAAGGGGCATAAGGAAAATAACATCACTTTTTCTCATCTGACTATCTGTTCTTGTTTTCCCTTCAGAGAGATAACCCTGGTTGTGCCTTTGCTATGTCTAAAGGTGTTCCATTCATATATACATGCGCATGTTTACAACATACAGTTGTGCACATTTTTATCTCTTAATATATCTTCGAGATGGGACCTGCAGATGGCATAATGGTTACGTCTCTGTACTCCCACGCGGTTGATGGCAGTTCAAGTCCCAGACCCACAGTGGCTTAAAAATTCGTGCTGGACATGTGTGTGTTCATGCCCAAAATCTCGAGAGGAGAATGGAGGAGAAGGGATTGCAGTGTGGCCATCCCCTCCTGGGGGTATTTCTCGCTTTCTGTCTCTGTCTCTCCAGTGAGTGCACATGCAAAAATCTCTCAAATTAATATACATATATATTAATTTATACGCACACACACATATATTCAAGATGAACTCATATTAATACATACACCTTTACCCCACTTTTTGACAGTTGCTAGCTGCAGAGTATTGCGTTGTGTGGCTGAACTATCATTTACTTATCCAAATTTCTCTTATGGACTCTAGATAGTTTCCAACCTTTTACTACTTCATTCAGACCATGCTAGAGATGAATATCGCTGTTAATGCCTCATAGAATTTTAATTTTATTAAACATGAATTGTAAAACTGAAGCGATGAAAATATTTTTTCCAGTAAACTATGGTTTGGATATATTTAGGTTAAATAAACTATTAAAATTCATTTTACCTGCTTATGCAAAACTCAGATTTGCACCTGTAGTTTGCATTATATTCCTTTAAAAAATTATTGCTAGAGGGCATGTGTGCTTATTAGAGAGAAAGAGAGAGAGAGCAAGCATACCCTCCAATGGGGCCTGGTCATGCTACAATCCTTTTTTCTCTTTTTCTCCATCAGGATTTTGGACATGCTTTGATCCAAAATGTTTTTCAAGCTGCAGGGACTGGCCATGTATATAGTCTGACTCCCAATGCACAGCACTTAACCGCTGCACTAACACTGGTCCCGCGTTACGTTTCTGTTGCTATTAGGTACTACGGCTCTAGATTGTCACTGTCTGGTGGTGGCCTGATAACCCTACTGGACTGTGTGCTCAGTCGGGGTAGGAACTCAGTATGTCTGGATTTCTCCTTTATCCTCGTTATCACCCAACCTGGCACGGAGTAGGTGCTTACTCCATTTTTGTTGAATGAGTGTCAGGAAAAAATATTATATATGCTTTCCAGCTACGAGTCTTACTGAGCATAGTCTTGGAAGGCAGGATGAGGTGGGGAGGGTACTAGGGCTTTCTGACCAGAAGGCTTTTGCAACTCTAGTCAATTCCCACAGTAACTATTATGGAGTAGGAGTGGCAATATTCCTTGGTCCTCGCAGGTGTACTAAACTTGGACCAAACTTCCCAGGCTGTAGGTACAGGGTAAACACTAGTTACCCTCAGAATGCGTGCTCAGCAAATGAATGGAAGATAACAAGGCCTCCGGGGAGGCTCTCTGGGCCGTGGTGCTGTGGCTCGGTCGTAGGTAGAGTTCTGGCTTAGGCCTGGGAGAGACGACCAGACTCAGGTCGCACTCCACTCCAGCTTCTCGACTGGCAGCCAGGAGCTAAAGAGAGGGCGTGTCCACCTGTTTAAGGCAGAGGGCGCGCCTGTTACCTGAAAAAGGACTCCTGACCAGGGACGCGTACCGCGTGTGTGGCGGTACCTAGGAGCTCCTGTAAGAAGAGACCTAAAGGGAGCGCCTGAACAGCTACGTTGCGGATGCAGGGGAAGAACCCGGCCAGCAGGGCGGTTAGCCTCCCAACCCCGCGCCCAGCGGACTGATCGAGGCGAGAGTAGTGAGCGCGCATGCACACTGGCGCGTGCCCGGCGCTAGAACCCGCGCAAGTGTGGGGGGGGGGGGCGCAAGTCCTCCCCGCGGGGGCCCGCGGCAATTTAGGCCGGAGTTGTCCGGCTAGCGCGCCTGCGCGAGCGCGCATCGACGCCCTCCTCCACCGCCCCCTCGGTTGGGGGTCTAGCGCACTGCTCAGCTTCCCCTGCCTTTCCCGAGGCTCGCGCCTTCGGGGTAAGCGGCTCGCCCCTACGGAGGGAGGGAGGATCCGCCGAATGACAGGAGGAAGAGGGCTGGGCTGGGAGAAATAAGGAAAAACTGCCCTAGCGGAGTGAGAAGCCCAGCTTCCAGGCTGGAGTCTGCAGGGGACACGCCTCCACCCTCACACCCCTCGGGGCTGCGGAAGTGCTCTGGAGACCATCGGCGCTGAGGCGACGAGTGGACTACCGTTCCCAGCAGGCGGCTCGGTGTGCGCCTACGACTCCCGGCAGCACCTGCGCGCCAGGCTCTTTTCAGTTCGCTGCTGCCTAGGGCGAACTACAGTTCCCAGGAGGCCTCGCGCGAAGCGGCTTGGAAGTGGGCAGTCTGGAAGTCACTCGGGCCACCGGAGCTGGCGGCGTCTCCAGCGAGCGGCGCGGAGCCGGACTCCGCGGTCGTGGGGCCCGTGGGGCTGGCAGACGGGACTCCTAGGTATGTGGTTTCGGGTGCAGGAGAGGCCTCGTGCAAGGGAGGCGGGGAATCGGGGGCTGCTCGGACCCTGAGGGTCAGCGCGGGCGAGCGACCGGGCGGACGGCCGGGTGTGGGCACCGGCTGTGGGGGGCGGCGGCGCCGGGACTCGCGCCCTCCGGACCCATTCGGACTCGTGTCCGCATGGCTCAACTTTCCAGACGTGCAACCGGCGCTGTGGGGAAGAGCTTGGGAGTCCGGGAGAGATGGTTTGCGTCCCGGCTCTGCCACTTGGGAGCTACTATCTGGGGAAACGGCGCCGAACCTGAATTTCCCCTTCGGTAAAACGGGGAAGGATAGTGTCTGTCTTTTGCCATGGGTTTTGTTGAGATGCAGAGATCCGGCGAAAACAGCATTTGGTACCGAGAAGGCACTTACTACGTGTTTGCGTTATGGTTAGGTCCCCAAGAAATGAGGCGAAGGCATTATCGATCGCGTAGGCTGACGGTTAGTTGAGCGTGTGCATGTAAAGAGCTGAGTCCATACTTAGCACTCAGTGGAGGGTAGATGCTCTTAACTGAGATCATTTTGTTAAGAGCTTTGGTTTGAGACCCAATTTCAAATTTAGGCTCTGCCTTTTTACCAGCTGTGTGACCTTGGGCGAGTGATTTCACCTCTCTGTGCCTCAGTTTCCCTCTGTATAAAATAGATATTTAAGTAACAGCCACCTCACAGAGTCGTTTTAAGAATGCGGCGAGGATACCATGTGTAAAGTGCTTAGTGCAGCAGCTGGCACATGGCGCTTACCTCAGTAAGTGAGGTTTTATTCAGCGTTTTCCTAGTGGCCCAGAGACCCTCCGAGAGTGGAGCTTTGGCTGTACTCTTGATCTCCTCTGCCCTCCAGACACAAAACTGGTCTAGCTGACTTCCCTTCTTGCAGCCTCAGGTTCCTTCTTCATTTATAAAATGGGATAATAGCAGTATCACCCTCAGAGGATTGTAAGGATTTGTGAAAATTGTGTTTTTAGTCCAGAGTCATCTCTCATCAAGTAGCAGCTCTTATGTATTATAATTGTTCTAATTCAATATTCTCCATCTGGCCCAGAGATTGCTTAACTGTGGGCTGTGACATGACAGCCCTGAGCTCCCCCACATGATCACTCCCAGCCTCAGTGTCCCATCTGTGAAATGGTAGTCAGAGGACTTTTAAGCCAGGGTGGTTTTTGATGATTCCAAGAGATAATTCATGTGTCGTGTTTAACCCAGAACTGGGTACAAGAACTGCTTAATAACTGTGTGTGTGTCTGTGTGTGTATTTGTATGTAAAATTTTAGACCCTTTCTGCTTCTGTTTGTACCTATAGGGTAGGGTGGGGCAAGATTAGTGTTTCTTCTCCCCCTCTCACCCATCCTAAATTTTACTCACTAAAGGTTAAATCGTGAACCATACTGTATGCAGTATAAAGGCCTGAGAAGATATGGTGCTGACCTGCTAGCAGCAGCTCCCTGGTTCTACTCCCCAACCATCAAGCTAAATGGTGGCTTTGATTACAGGCCTCAGTGCTACTAGTTCTCCATTCTGCGTCTCCTGTCCACACCAGTTCCAGGTGTGGGGCCTATGCTTCCTTGACGGCCCCTGATGACTGTTCCTTGGGTTCCATGGAACTCATTATGCCAACCTGAATTCCTCCTCCCAGACCCAGTGGTCACCATCTTGGCAAATGGGCCAGCATTGACCCAGTTACTCAAGCCAGAAACTTGAGAGTTGCTTTTCTTCCCCAGCCTTCCATGTACCGTTTGATTGGTTAGAAGGATGGAGCTGCCATTTCATAGAGGTAATATTTCATTGGCCCATATTAATTTCCCAGCAGAGGGGCACTGAAAGTTCCCCTTAGTTCCTGGATATGGCCTCTTCTGGTGAAGTTGAGCTGTTTCTTTTAAGTCACCAGGTAAGCATATGTATTAAGAAGGGATGATGATATGTACTTGTAGATATATTCTTGTAGCCATACTTGGCTTGACCACAGTGGCTGCAGGTGTGGCATGAAGGCCTTGCTTTCAGGAGACCCACTTCTTTAGTTTTAGCCTGGAAAGGACTGGCCAACTTGTTAATTTCTTTCAGCAGTTACACTGTTGTGTCAGCAAGTTAGAATATCCTTATGGGAGTATGGCCATCCTGAGCATTTTAGGAAGCAGCACACATGCCATATACCTGAGGAGAGACTGGGAGGGAATTGAAGGAATCTACATTTAGGTTAAATCTATTGTAGGAAACCTCTTGTATTATTTCATTTGGTAAAGGAAATCCATAGTCTCAGTCAAATTTGTAATGGCCCTCAAATTTACCTAAGTGGGGGCTGGCAGATGGCTTTTGGTTAAGATACTGGACTTTCACATGGCTGGCTATGGTTCAAGTCCCAGACCTGGCAGCTTGCTTTCTCACTTTCACTTTCTCTCTCTCTGTTTCTTTCTGGTGAAATTGAAGAATAGTGATAACAAATAAAATTAAATAATAAATAATTTTTAAAAATTTACCTAAGTGTTTTTTGTTTGTTTGTTTGTTTGTCAGAGGGCATGTGCACTTACCCAAGAGAAATGGGGGGGGGTAGAAAGTACCCCCCCCCAATGGGATATGGTTAAGCTGCAATCCTTTCTCTATTTGTCTATCCTGTTGGGATTTGAGGCACACATTCCCTTGCACTTGTGTGTTTTTCAAGCCTCTGGGGCCGGGACTTGAACAGTGGTTGTCCATATTGGATCCAGCTCCCTCGACTAGTAGGCCGTGGGGCTAATCCACCTAAGTGTTTTTGTTTTGTTTTGTTTTGTTTTTAATTTGATGAAATAAAACAGTGATTTTAAAAAAAATCTTGGTTGGTTTCAGTTGTTAGTGACAACAGCACATGGTTTTTTAAGCAGACTGTGTAGAATGGTCTAAGAATTAAATGGGGGCCTGATTTTCAGACATTGCAGTTGTTAGGTGGTAAATCAAAAGTAGAATTTAGAATGTGCAGTGTTTGGTGCCTTTTTTTTTGCTATAAAATATTTTGCTAATGTGTTTCAAAGTTAGGTTTAATAACTTGCAGAATCTAAATTATGCATAATTGTATTTTAATGAAAGAATTCAAGTCATTTTCTTTTAAGTGTTTGTTTTTAGCTGTTAGAATGAGAGGCTAGCAGACTGGTTTGTGCATTTGTGTGTTCTTTGAGACTTGATATTGCCCCCATTTTTTAGGATTATTTCCACTCATGGCGTTTATTTGTGTGTGTGTGGTTGGGTTGAATTTGACTTTAAAAAAAAAGTTACCCAAGAAATACATGTTCACTGTAACATGTCAAACAATACAGAGATGTAGAAGGAAAATAACAAGTGTCACCCTCCACTGTAGAATCTGTACCCCCGAGATAACCATTTATTGAAACCGTGAGTATCTCTTCAGTATCTCCTGTCAGGTTTTGGAGATACCAGAGTGAACAAAGTGAATATGCACTCTGCCCTTGGCAATTTGGGGGGATTTTCTTACTTATGTTTTTCTTTTTCTGTGTTGATATTAATATATTCCTCTTCCCCCACCAGTTCAAACAAATGGAGGGGTAGGGATTAAGCTACACATACTTGTAACTTGATCTTTTCAATTAATAATTGAACATATCCCTTTAAGTCATTGGTATAGATCTGACTCATTCTCCCTTTTTTTTTTAAAATAAAAAAGAATTATTTTATTTAACTTTATTTATTTATTTATTTTAATTTGACCAGAGAGGGACAGAGTGAGAGAGAGAGAGAGAGAAAGTAAGAAAGCAAGCCACCGGGTCTGGGACTTGAACCGTGGTTGGCCATGTGGGAGTCTAGCACTCTTAACCACTACACTACCTGCCAGACCCTCATTCTTTTATTTTTAAAAATTTTTGCCAGAGGTCATGTGCATTCACTATAGAGAGAGAGGAAAAGAGAAAAAGCACCCTTCAATGGGGTGTGACCACACTGCCATCCCTTCTCCTCCATTTCTCCATCTTGTTGGGCATTGGGGCACACAAACACACTCACTTGGTGTTTTTCAACTCTCCATAGGCAGGATTTAAATTGCACTCCATCATGTGGGATCTGGCTCCCTTAACCACTAGACTTCAGAGCTGGCCCACGACTCATTGTTCTAAATAGCTGCTCCACGTTCTTCAGTGTAGAGAGGTCATGCTTTATTCCACCATTCCCCTGTTGTTGGACATTTAGGTTGTTTCATAAATGTTTCCTTTTTTTTTTTTTTTAATGTTAGAGGAAGTGTGCACTCGATAGAGACAGAGAGAGAGGGAAAGGAGAAGGCGCCTTCCCTCCCCCCGCCATGGGCAAGTGGTCACACTACAACCCTCTCTCGTGAGATTTTGGGCATACATGCATACATACCTGTCATGTTTCTCAGTCTGCTGGGTCTGGAACTCGAACTGTAGGATCAGCCGTTTTGGGTCTGGCTCACTCAACCACCAGTCTTTTACCTCAACAAATAAACATTCAACAAACATCCTTGAACATAGGCAGTATGGCATATGACTAAAAGCACAAACTCTAGGGCTACATGACCTGGGTTCAAATTCTGACTGCCCTATACTAGTTGTATTACTTTGGCAAGTCATTTGTCCTTCTGGGCCTCCGGTTCCTTAGCTGACGATGATGTGCATTGAGCTTTTTTCTTCAGTGGCAAAGTGAGTAAGTAGTCCACCTCAGTGGTTGTTGGAGACTGAAAGAAATGTCAACAAGACCCCCAATATACCCAGCTATTGTTAGCCATGCATAATTAGCTACTTTAAAAAAAAAAATTGAATTGTCCAGTTTCTTGAGTACTGCCATGTGCCAGGTCCTGTCCCAGGCACTGAAGATTCAGCAGTGAACATGGACAGCCAAGATTCTTGCTTTCCTAGGGTTTACATTCTAGTTGAGGAAACACAAGATAATTTCAGATGTTGGGGTTTTTGTTTGTTTTTTAATTTAAAAAAATTGGGATCTGGCCATTTTCAGATGGTTTTAAGTATGAT